CACGGAGCAGCGCGAGAGTAAAGCACGAGGGAGGGGCTAATAATCGGCTCAGTCATTTTTAATGATCGTTGAAAGCCCAGATCGTAATCGTGATTAAAATTCGATTAATTGAGCAGCTCTACATCCAGGTGACTCCTTCAGTCTGACTGCAAATGTCCAACCTTATAAACAGCACGTTTGCACAATGACTGAAACTAGCACCTCTGACGAACAGTGGGCTGGGAGGTCAGTTTCATAATCATTGTTGAGATGGTACTTGACCTAATGACTGCTCTGTGACTACTAACATGTTTTAAATAACACAGTATAATACCCCCTAATAGTTAGACTGAGTCACGCTGTACTTCTCTTAAAGTTTACCACCAGAGGCACCTTTCTTATAAATAATATCCCCGTTCCCCAGGCGAGAGTTTCAGGGCCTTCCTAGCCATCCTAACAGGTAAAGTCCTGAGTTACCATCCAGGCTAATTTGAGACCGGAAATTAAGGCCAATAACAGGTTGACTTCGGCCAAACTTTTTGCTGTTTCACCTCAAGAAATTTGGTGTCTACACAAACTGCATGTGCAGTCTTCTTCTACAGACCAGGCTGAAAGGGCTAAAGTAGACAGAGAGACAAAGACAACAAACTTGGCCTGGAGCGAACCAGACCTTTTGCACTCTAGCAGACAGATGCACTCAACTTTCTCATGGACCTTTTAACATTTTACTGACTAGTTATCAGCGAGTGATAGAACTAAAATGGGATGTCTATAATCACTAGTAAAGTCTTCTGTAAAGCTATGTTGACTTTGTGCCAAAGTTCCTGAGAGGTTCACCTTTTAACACCATTTGTACTCTTACTGAATTCTACTGGAGAAATTCCTGTTGTATGAAAATACAAAAGAAACTTTAGATTTTTCATGTGTTTGCATGCTACCACGCTGATGAGGCTTGAATGCAGTTTGCAGTTAGGTATTTGGTTGGTGGCTGACCTTTGACCTGAGCTGTCGTTCTTGTGCTCAGTCTCAGGAGGATCGTGACACTCGGAGGTTTCAGCTGAAGATAGCTGAGCTCAGCGCCGTCGTCAGGAAGTTA